CCCCTACCGCTGGCTGGTGCACAGTCTCCCCCTTGAACTGCGGAAAAGACTCAGCAGAATCCGCTTTGGCACCTACACAATTAGGAAGGCAGAAAACAAATGGCTGCAGAGGGAGCACATGCAGTGGACTGAACGGGAGGTACTCAGTCTGCGTAACCAAGTCCTGGAACTGACGCGGGCTGGGGATGACTTACAGTAACAACTGGTCAACTACCAAGACTTACAACAGGAGATCGAGATGCTGAGGGACCAGGTGGCGTCCTACCGGCGCCTGCGAATGACTGGCACATCCGCCTATGTGTCTGACGGACAGTAACTAGGCAGCATTAATAGCCAAGAGTGATATGTACTTTACCAACTGTGACCCATATATAAGAAGGTTATTGTAATTAATCATGCATACTATGGAAAATGACAGCAAGGCCACTAAGCATAGCTCTTGTACTCAAAGCACTACTACATCAATAGCACGCAGCGCAACTAGTTAAAAGAGTGATCACTGGAATTATCACTGGAAGTATTACTGGAACTGGTTTATGTGTGATATTTACTGAAACTGGTTGTATTGTATGGGACTTCTGAAGTCCCAAAGAGGGGAATATATATTTTTTCCTTCCTCTGATCCCTAGCATTAGATGGGACTATGTAGCCCCAAAAGGGGGGAATGTAGTGTAAGATTTAATCATTAATCATTGATCTCTCAAGGCAATTGAATCGAACACAACTGGACTTGGTTTTGTCTTAGAAGACGTTTCACCTCTTATCCAAGAAGCTTCATCAGTTCATGCTTGTCTGACTAGGCTGGAACTAGTCTGACAAACTGGTGTGGAAGCACCCAGGTATTTAACCTCTGGGGAGGTCTTCACAAGGCCAATAATGTCACTGGTTTGTTAGTGCTCCAATGGTGTGTCAATGACAGTCGTTGAAACTCCTGCTGCAACGGTTGTCACTGGAGTCGTTAGAGTCACATGAGGCCATTTGTGAACGACCGTTGTTTTTAGAGGTTAAGTTGTTAAGCCTCCTGGGCAAGGATGAAAGGTCAGCATTATAGGTGGGGGATAGGTGGCGTCGCAGACCTCCTCCTCTATTGAGAGATGGTTTTTCCAATTTCACATAGATGGCTTCTTTTACACCTCTTTCAAACCATCAGTCTTCCCTGTCCAAAATGTGCACATTGCTGTCTTCGAAAGAGTGTACTTTCTCCTTGAGGTGTAGATAGACAGCTGAGTCTTGCCCTGACGAGTTAGCCCTTCTATGTTGGGCCATGTGTTTGTTTAGTGGTTGTTTTGTTTCACCAATGTACAAGTCTGGGCATTCCTCACTGCATTGGACAGCGTACACTAGGTTGCTCTTCTGAGTGTGTGGTGTACGGTCTTTTGGGTGTACCAGTCTTTGTCTGAGTGTGTTACTGGGTTTGAAATACACAGGGATGTGGTGTTTGCTGAAAATCCTCCTGAGTTTTTCAGATACCCCAGACACATAGGGGATGACAATGTTATTGCGCTTGTTCTTTTCTTCCTCTCCCACCTTGTTCTTTCTGGAACAGGCTGCTGATTTCACAAAGGTCCAACTGGGATAACCACAAGTTTTTAGAGCCTCCCTCAGATGTTCATGCTCTTTCCCTTGGGCCTGAGTGCTGGTAGGTACGTTATCAGCTCTGTGTTGTAGGGTCCTGATAACACCTGGTTTGTGTTCCAGTGGGTGGTGAGAATCGAACAGTAAGTATTGGTCTGTGTGAGTGGGTTTCCTGTATACCCCAATGTGGAGGCCTCTGTCCTCTGTAATGTGCACGTCAGAATCCAAGAAGGGCAAACTATTCTCCTTAACATCTTCTCTTGTGAACTTGATGTTTCTGTCCACTGAATTGATGTGTTCAGTGAAAGCTTGTACCTCTTGAGTTTTGATTTTAACCCATGTGTCATCCACATATTTGAACCAGTGGCTCGGTGCTGTTCCCTCAAAGGAGTTCAATGCTCTGTATTCTACATCCTCCATGTACAGGTTAGCCACAATGGGAGATACCGGTGAGCCCATGGCACAGCCATGTTTCTGTCTGTAAAAATTGCCATTGTATTTGAAATAGGTAGTGCTCAGGCAGAGCTCCAGTAGTTGGCATATCTGGTCTGGGCTGAGCTTGGTTCTGTCATGGAGGGTGTTGTCATGTATCAACCGTTGCCTGACTGTTTCCAAAGCCTCCATGGTTGGAATGCAAGTGAACAGGGAAGTCACATCATAGGATACCATGGTATCATCTGGATCCATTTTTAAACCTCTTACTTTGTTCACAAAGTCTATGGAGTTCTGGATATGGTGGGGCGTATTGCCCACCAAGGGAGCCAGGATGTTGGCTAAATGTTTGGCAATGTTATACGTGACCGAGTTAATGCTGCTGACAATGGGTCTGAGGGGGGCCCCTTCTTTGTGAATCTTGGGGAGCCCATATATGCACGGGATGGCATCTTGGGGGTACAGACGGTGATATTGTAGGCGATCAATGGTGCCCTCTTTCTGTAGTTTTTGTAGGCATTCTATTGTCTTTTTCTTGTATCCACTGGTTGGGTCTCATTTCAGTGATTCATAGGTGTTAGTATCACTGAGAAGATCATTAATCAGTAGAGTTGATTAAGGTTGAAGTTCATATAATAATGTTTTTATGTATCCATGTATGGCAAAAACACTTTTACTCAGGTTTTGTATTCATATATTGAAAACACACATACCATACTATATACTTCCTGGAAGTGTAATAATAGACACACACACACTCTAAGGTTTTATATTGCAGGAGGGCACAAGGGACCTTATAGAAATGGTCCCCAAGTTCCATATGTTAAAAATAGTGTGAACCTGAGTTCAAACCTAATGGTGGGAAAGTTTGGGGATTTCCAGGCCGGGGGAAAAAGATTACACCATTAAGACATGCCTGGGCATGTTCGGGACAAAGGCAAAAAGGCCTGCCACCAATAGGTTTGGGCTCAGGTAGGAAGGGCTAAAAGAAAAAGGGTGGAGATTCTCTTGAATCTTCACCAGCATAAAAAGGAGAGCTCAGAAAGTGAAACTTCAGTCGTGCTCCGGAGCTTGACTCATGAGTTGTATGTGTTGAAGCTTGTGAACACATTAAACTCGATTGTACCGGATTCAATTGGTCTCCAGTGTTTTCTCTGAGTACTAGCCAACCGAACCTAAGATACTAAACTGACACAGAGGACGAATTGACGATAAGGTGAGGACGAAGTCGGGAGCCATCTGGCCCAATTCCAGGCACTGATTTTCGCCTCATCACTTTCCACATCAGCATATAAAGGTACAAGATACCGTGGGTGCGTTCGTTATTGACGTTCTGGGACACCTTGTCAATTTAAGCCTGTTACATGCATTGTCTGTTTTCAAAATACCCTTTCGTTTTCACAGGAAATGCAGTTCGCATACAGTCTCTTTCAAAATAAATGTACTACATTGGTACAACACTGCAAATTTACCTTTTTTCCTCAACAACTAATGCACATAGTTACATTTTGCCAACACGGGGACATGGTTGGGTTTAGGAAAAAAGAACAGGGTTTGGCTATACAATCACATAGGAACTGAACACCAGCCCACTGGGTGAAAGTCAATGGTTGCTGGACCCATCCACCACCCTTCCACACAGACTGTCCTCCTGAGACCCTGTGTCCTCATATGAGGACATTACACTGGGTTTACTGGACCTTATACTTCATTCTGCTTAATTTAGACCTCTTTTCATTCCCTTTTGTCCCATCTAGTGGTAGTAAGAGCACAACTTATCCATGTTAAAACAAGATGGCAGCCAATCAGTCAGTCTACAGCTGACCCTGATGCAAAAGTGGACAAGGTACAAAACCATCTAATTGTCTAAACTTGTTTATTTAGGACTTAGTATGACTAATATTTGTAGTTTGATATGGCAACAAATTTGAACAATTTTAGCAACAGTAACAAGCTAAGAGGCTGTTTATTAGAAAGTACTCACCTGAAGATACTGGGAATTTATCATCAGCTCATTGAAGGGCATTGGGACTTTATTGTCATCTCGTTTGTGGACATTGGGACTTAATTATCATCTTGTTTGATTACATTGGGACTTTATCCTCTCGTTTGATTACACTGGGACTTTATCCTCTCGTTTGAGGACATTGGGACTTAATTGTTGCCTCGTTTGAGTACCATTGAACCTTATTATCGTCTTGTTTTAGGACACTGGGACTTTATTATCATCTTGTTTGAGGACACTGGGACGTAATTGTTATCTGCCTTCTGTTTGTTATCATTGATAATGTTTAGTTTTCTATACTCATGAGGTCCCATATAGCTAGGAGAAATTAAAAATGCTTACCAAACAAAATTTTGGGTCTCAGGAGGATATGCATGTTGTTCACCTAAGACCAATGTAATTTGTGGGTTGGTTCAAGTTGTCACTGATTAGATATTGTTAGCTAAAGATGCAAAACTGATTTTGATTTCAAAAGTTCCAACTTGAAAATCTTTTAGGCGGTGCAGTGGAAATTGACTCATTATCAGTGTTTTGCTGTCAAAGTGTTTGGATTAAAACTATAATAACTCACATGAACACACGTGTTCCCTTGCAGAAACCATCCCGGCTCTGCATAGCACCTTTCTTTCAAACGCGCTTAAAGATTTAAAGAACTGAATGTAGTCCCCCTTTTTCCCCTGCACATGACCATCAGACCTGTGCTTCATCATATCTGGTAAGTCTTGATTTCCACATGACAGTTAACCCTCCTGATATGGTGATGAAGAGCATCCAGCAGTGGATGAATAATGCGTGCGTGGAATTAACCCCAGAGGATGTGACATGATTTGATTGTTGAGGATGAATGCTTGGCAGATTTCCATTCTATAGCCTCCTTACATTTGGCTCTGCGGCTGAAACTCCCAGCAGATTATGATGTCACAGCGGAGTGGGAATAGCCCTTCATCTAGAGCAAGGGATCACAGTCAGGATTAAGTACATGGGGGTAATGGTCTGCAGCCAGTGAATGCTCAAGAGCAGTAGAGCTGAGTTGATGCAGTCCTGCTGGCTTCTCTCCTGTGGATTTTACAGGAAATTAAATTGTGGATTTTTTTGCTGTCTGAGGATGAAGAATGACACAAAGACAATGAGAGATATCTGAGATTTGTTTTTCCTCCTTTGGTAAGCTAAATGATTTGATTTGCAACTGTTTGTGAGAACTAAAAGAAAGTCTTTGTCAAATGACATGAAAAAACTGCCTGAGAGGTTTGTGCTTTATGCAGGGTTCCCACAGTCATCGAAGACATGGAAAAGTCATGGAATATCACAATAACATTTTCCAGGCCTGGAAAAGTCATTGAAATAGTAAAAATTATTGAAAATTTTGGAAAAGTCTTGGAATTTTGTTGTGTATATTGAAATTGTTACAACAATCTTCTGTGGATAACATATAATGGCACATTTACTTAGGTACCAACATAAATGGTAATGGTAAATGGACTGCACTTATATAGTGCCTTTTTAGTCTTCTGATCATTCAAATTGCTTATTACACTACAAGTTACATTTGCCCATTTACACACTGGTACCTGACTACCATACAAGGTGCCACCTGCTACTCAGTTTTTAACACATTCAAACACAGATGGAACAGTGATCGGAAGAAATCTGGGGTTGAGTATCTTGCTCAAGGATACTTTGACATGTGGACTGGAGGAGATGGGTGTTGAACTACCAATCTTCTGATTAGTGGACGACCTGCTCTACCTTCTAAGCCACAGCTGCCCCTAAAGCATAACATAACGTAGTTATAATGTGCTGATGTGTGACAACATCTTGTTCACCATCACGTTTCTTTATTTTTCTCCCCGCTCTCTGTCTCTCCCCTCTCTTCTCTGTATGCCAGCTAGCTGAAATTATTTTTGAAGAGAGTTTGAATCTAATATGTTTGAAAAAAACATGGGAAAAATATGTGGGAACCCTGTTTATGTTGAGGTCATTCTTCATTATGTTTCAACAAACTTTTTTTTTTTTCTAGACTACGTCTGCAGCCCATAACAACCAGTAAGCAAGATGAAGGTGAAATGGACCATGCTGGGCATGGTCGTCTTCTTCCTGCTCTCTGTGGTCATGATCTGCTGCTTTATATGGCAGTATACGATGCCAAAGCTGAAAACAGGTAAAGTTTATCCAGCCAACACAGATTAACACCATCAGAACACCCACACACAGACTCTTTAAGACATTGGTATGACTTTCCAATCTGGCTTTTGGACCAGGGACTTCCTTAGCCTGCAGCAGGATTACATAAAGATGGAAATAGTAGCAGCAGGATTAGCAGCCATGATAAAGCAGACTTTAAGTCCTGCTGAGAGAAGTGGAGGGGGGGGGGGGGTTGAGCAAAGGTGGAGCAGAGCTGGGCATCTGAATCTGACAACTGCTGCTTATGTGTTGTATGTGACATAAATCTTATGGCAATCTTCATGGCTCCCAGGCTCAGTGGTCAGGGTGCACTGTCTGACTGACTCCAGTGCTGTGTTGTGCTGTTATGTCAATAAATTACATAATAAGAACACCAGTTTTATAATCTCCTCCCCGTGGGAAAATAAGAGCAGGCTGACATATTCACAGCACTTTATAACACATAGCACAATATGATTGTTTTACAGCTAGTGTGTGCATGCTGGATTTTTGCTTTAGCAGAAAAATGCATTGTGCTACCCACTACCACCTCTGCTATGAATTATGTTTTTGGTGCTGTGATGGAAATTTACAGTATGTCTGTATTAATTCAGCACAGCTATTCTACAAATTGAAGAATATTGTCCTAATAGATTGATAACTTTATTGTCCACCTCAGTGGAAAAACATTCATAGATCACAGTGTCACTGTCACTATAATCAGGAGGCCATGAAATTGGTAGTGACCAAAACAGGTGCTGACTGGCTCTCTTAAAAATGGTCTCAGAGTTTTCATTAAAAGTTAGGGTTTGATTGATAATTGTGGCCAAGTGCTTACATTGTTCTACTCCTTCTACAGGCTGGTTATTGAGTATGGCAGAGAGGATATGACTGGTTCAATTTGGTTTTGTTTGTATCATAAGTTATTTTGTTTTGGCCACATTTGTTTACAGTTTACTTGCCTGACATAAGTCCTGAAGAAACTGTCAATGAAACTGTTGTGTACTGTATTAGTAATATTGTACTAATGTATTAGTACAGATAGGTATTAGATACAAGTAACAAGTTTAGAAGAGTTAGATGTGTGTCATCACAGTTAACCAACCATCCAACTACACAGATGTTTTTCTTACTTTAAGGATCCTGCTAGTGGGGCGCTGGTGGCTTAGTGGTAGAGCAGGCGCCCCATGTACAAGGCTGTTGTCGCAGCGGCCGGGGTTTGACTCCAGCCTGTGGCCCTTTGCTTCATGTCACTCCCTCTCTCTCTCCCCCTTTCACGCTTGTCTGTCCTATCCATTAAAGGCTAAAAAGCCCCAAAAAATATCTTTAAAAAAAAAGGATCCTGCTAGTCATTTACTGTTACTGAAGAGTCAATAAAAAATAATCTAGTGAAGATACAATTTATTGAAAATGTTAAACAAAATTCCACTCACTCCCATTGTATTGAGGTTGAGACAGAGATTTCAGAACGTGGACATATAAATATATAAAAAATATATATAAATATAATTTTAGTGAACCAGGCCTTAAACATGCGTCTGTGTGACAGATGTTTCATGCTCTTGCTAGCTGTGTGTCTGCTTTTTCCTGTCTATTGGAGAAAGCTGATCAAACTAAATTCCAAAAGCTAAATGCTGAACTATTATGTTTTGGTTTCTGCTTGTCGAACACACATGATACAGCATGAACAATAGACAGCACTGGAGTTGTTGGATATATATATCACTTCTGACTGAGATAGGCTAGCAGTTTTCCCCTGCTTCCAGTCTTTGTGCTATGCTATCCTAAGCAGGTGCTGGAACTAGTCTATCATGCACCACGAGATTGACAACAAACAGCTTTTCACATTCGATTAAAACACATTTGATCAAAATCGCAAAGTCCTTCAACATCAAGTTGAAAAACTTATCCATAGTCACACCTGAGACCTGCCAAAACTGTTTAAATTTGTTTATTTGTAAATTTAGATATAGAAGAACAGGGAAAAAGTAAAATAAAAACAGTTTACATATGCAGGTGAGGTAGAAACCCAGACAGGGCTTTTCTTGGTACGTAACCTAAAAGGAAGAATAAAATCTAGATTTAAAAATACAACAAGATGCAAAGTAAAATGTCAATAAAGATACTTCCACACAATCAGCACTAGTGAGGAGAAATAAACAGAACATCAAATAAATCAATACTATGCAGAAACATAGCAGCTACACAACACAGTGATGATCTATACAGCACCAAATCTTTTTGTCATCAAACCAAGTTCCTTTTTGTATTGGGACAAAGACATTGAGTCAGTTAAAAAGTTCAAGTTCATGTTCTATAGTTGGGCTCCATAGCATTTCAATGAATACTGCCCTCTTGATGTACGATACGTTGGTAAATAAAGGTTATTGGTTTGTCTAGTTAGATAAAAATTAACCTGAGATTTACAGATAAAAAAATCATAAAGGTTTCTGATAAGTCAGTGTTCAAATACTTTGAAAATAAAAGTACATATTTGCAGAATGTTAATATCAGAAATGGCTGGTACATTATATTTCAAGAAAAGAGAGGTTGTAGCACATGACTTGGAGCAAGTTGCCATTCTAATAAAACGTTTTTGCAGCATACAAATTTTATCAAGTGCTTGCCCTGACAATATTACAGCAAGTAAGAAATGGATATGTAAACCGTAATACAATCTTAAAAAACAATATGAATGTAACAAAGGGCACATTTTTCGAATATTTCCCAGATATTTTGTGACCTTATTACAAACAAAACCAGTGTGAGTTTCTAGTCAATTAAGATTCCAAGAAATCTTGTTGATGTAACTTTGTAAATTTTTTCCCCATTAATATGTAATTTAGCTTATTAGGGCCCGAGTGACGACGAAGTCGTCCGTGAGGACCCTATTGTAATCGCGCTGTTTATTATTAGGACCCGAGCGATGACGAAGTCGTCCGTGAGGACCCTATTGAAATCGTGCTGTTTATTATTAGGGCCCCGAGTGACGACGAAGTCGTCCGAGGACCCCATTGACATCGCACTGTTTATTATTATTATTATTATTATTATTATTATTAGGGCCCGAGCGATGACAAAGTCGCCTGAGGACCCTATTGAAATCGTGTTGTTTATTATTATTATTATTATTATTATTATTAGGGCCTGAGTGATGACGAAGTCATCCGCGGAGGACCCAATTGAAATCGCGCTGTTTATTATTAGGTCCC